ATACTTGCACATCAAGTTCGGGTTTCTTTGAGAAGGATAGGTCTGTATAGGCTTGGGCCACTTGGTATCTTTGATTCTCCCAATAACTGAGACAATTCCCGAACTATGCTGAAGTTGTACTCCGATAATCGAGGAGCCTCGACGGGGTCGATATGCTTATCGAAACCGCTCTTACTCATGAGTCCCCGAGAATTTTGGCCTCGATCATTCCTCTGATCGTTCGTAGGAGCGTTACGACCTGGGCCATTGTTTCTCCGATCGATGTATGGTTGATATCGTTCTTTGTTGAATCTAGATTCCCGATCTGTGTCCCTCGGGGGCTTGACTGCGAATCTGTTAGGATGAACTGAACCCGAGGGGGCTCCCAACTGGTCGCCCTCGACCTTGATTTTCGATTGGTAACGATTGTGCACATCTGACCATGTCACGGCTGGTTATTCGATCAAGTTCTGTTTTAGCTGTCGAGACGCAATCGAGCTCCTTTCATTCAAATCCTGCATAAAGGCCTGTACTGCCCAGTCTTGGGAGACCGACGGTAATTCCATTCTTTCCATTTGAAACCTGGACACGAACTCCCTTAGCATCTTGTAGTTCCTTTATTTTATTTTGAAGACGTTCGATTTTCTCGTGGCCACCTTTATGGCCCCGGCATGTATTTTCACGAAGGCATCTGCTAACATAGCAAACGAGTCAATAGAGTTGGGAGCCAAGTTGTGATACCAAATCATAGCTCCTTTCGACAACGTTTCTCTAAAAATTTTTAGCAAGACTGATTCGATCTCATCGTCATTAAAATCATTTCCTTTGATTCCGCAAGTGTATGAAATAAAATTCTCGTTAGGGTCACTTGTCCCATTATATTTGGGAATATCGGGCATGCGAAACTTCTTGGGAATCGACATCGGAGCCGCACTCGCGGGGAATGGTTTTTGTATGAACTTTTGGCATCTAATCCTTTCAAAATTGGAAGTGCCCCCGGTATTTGATCAACACGGGAGTTGTAAGTCTTCACCTTTTTGTCATTTTCTTCAATCTTCTTTTCCCTGGACTCGATCCTCTTGGCGAGCTCTTCGATCATTCTCATAATGGTGGGGTTAGTCCCAAAATCATTTCCGTTTGACCTTTCTTGTGCTGGTTCAGCATGCCGAGTGTTTTCTGGTTCAGCTATACTCGGAGTCTTAATCTGATTTTGAAGTTGAGCGATGGTGATTTTCTGAGCTTGCAGCATTTCGAAAATCACTTGGAGGCTGATTCCCCCATCTCCCATTCTTTGTGCTCCTTGGCCACCAGATCGAGCCTCCCTGCGTACGTTCCCTCCAGGGTTTGTGCCTGAATCTGCATTTAGAGTATTGTGTGAACTAACATCAGTAGGTTCCATATTTGGCACTTCCTCGGGATTTATTGGTAGTACACCGACCCCTATACTGCTGTTTTCTCCAAGACCTTCGTTGTCATGAACATGTGCGTTTTGTGAGCTATACATGTTTCAGCCTGAGAATCAAAAAATCTTGACAAGAAAAAGTGTAAAAACAACGTGTGTAATGAGAATCAGTAAAGAAACAATTACTATTATCTTTAGACCCACAGTGGACGTCAAACTATTTACCTCGAAAATACAAGTAACAATTAAATTTGATTAGTGGTTTTAAAGATATATGATTTAGTTCAATACCAATTAATAATCAAAAAATATGAAGTAGAAATGAAAGATAGAAGTGAATCAAATCAAAGTTACTCAGCAGTAGTGACCTCGAGCTTAGTGACCTCGAGGTGGCTTGGGGCAATAAGAACAATTAAGCAATGTAAAGTAAGAACAATAGAGCTAAAGGATAATTCTGATGAACAGTAGGCAAAAGGTAGAGATTATATTCTTTTCTCAATGATTAGATGATGTTACAAATGATTGGGGTCCCCTTTATATAATAGGGGAACCCCTAAATAAGGTATATTTCTATTTACAGTAAGGAATATTCTTGGTACAACTGTATAACCGCCTAGTACGAAATCGTACAATCCTATTTCGGGATTTGCGCCACGATCTTGGTGACGTGGCAGGAATCTAGCTCATTCTGTTACAAATCCGTAACGATACTATTTCGGGGTCGAGCATACTTGGCCCCGGTATTCCTCGTTCCCCTATCTCCGGGCATTGCACTCTATCTTCGGGCTCGAACCTGGTCCACTGGTCTTCGAACTCGACCTCGCCCGGACTCGGGGCCTAGGACAGACCCTCGAGCCTATAAATCGGAGGCATACGATTTTGACCGTATACAAATGTGTCACCTTTTCTATTATTATATCGTCGAAATTGAATTTGCTAAAATATCCTTGGGCTGAGTTAAAATTTCATTTAACTTTCGATCACTTATCAAACATTTTCTTGATATATTTAATTAGTTTTATGCCAAAATTTTTTTTACAGTTGATCAAAAATCAACCTGTCTCACTGTTTTATTTCTTTTTCGTCCAAAAATTTAGACGTGGATAATTTTAGTTTACTTACTTTTAATTATATTTAATAATGTCACTTATCTGACTAAACTAATATACCAAACTGTAAGGTGGGGAATGGGAATCAATTCTTATTATTAAGGTACGTTCATACATAATTTTCCCAACTAATATACCAACTGTAAACAAATCAAACATGTTTGAAACTACAAGTTAATGGTACAAATCATCCATTAGATTTTTCAAAACTTACTATCAAACTCCACTGATGTGAAGCCTAAGATCAAATTACGTGTTGAACTATCTTGTCAAGTTTTTTTTTTCTTCTAAACAAATGATAGGAGTAATAATGAAGAATAGTATAATGAGGCTTTCGTTTACAAATTTGTTAGAACTCCATACGAACAATATTGGTATTAGTGCACCTTTCTTACGTTATCAACATTAAATAATTTCTTCTCTTGTGGAGAATTATAGTTACTGATTTTGTTCAATTCACATGGCGCTATCACTATTTTAAACATTTTTTATTATGATTTTTTAAAATATTTTATTTTAAAATTGTAGTTTATAGTGCTTTTATATAATTCTCAAGTATTTTAAAGTTGCAAACTTTTAAATACTCATCCTCAAAACTAAAAGCATAATGATCTGATCATTATATTTCAAAATCGAGTAATTCTTTTTTGAGCAATTGTGGTATTTCATTAATTTATGTTCCAAGAAAAAATACTACGAGGGGGTAATTGTTCATTTGACAAAGCTCAGATGCATTAATGTCTTTTTATAAAGTTTAGGGTGGCAATGGAAATTCAGGAATCTGAAACTCCTCCCTCTCTCTCGAGTTTTCTTTTTGGCATAGAATAGAAGAAGAGAACCTCTCTTATGGTCCACCAAAAACCTTCTCTTTGTGATTCACTGCATCATTTCTCTTCTTCCAGATTCATTCAAGGTCAGGCTCCTTCTAATTGCAAGTTTGATCGTTTTTAAAGTTTTTTGTTTTTCCTAAAACTATAAAAAAAAATTTCTTTCATGTAATTTTGTGCTAATGTAACTAGCTTTAGAGTTAAATGTAAAAAAGATGTTGGTAGCCCTGCTCTTTAGTTGAGCTATTTGTAAATATTTGCCTCGAATTATCTTGCTTCACTTTGTTGGCTTCAAATTATTTCAAATATTGTAGGACTTTGTTGAAATATGAAATGCTGACCTTAATTGTTAGAAATGAAATTAAATGGACCTGAATAGAGGTCTCATATAGCCGACACAAATTGTGTACTTATTTAAATATTTTTTTTTTAAATTTTCTCATCACATTAGGGAATCAGAGAAGGATAATGGGGAATTTAGTTCACAATTATTACGTGCAGAGGCAGAGCCAAGATTTATGGTTTATGAGTTCTGAACTTGCCATGGAACCTGTAGCTTGTTTTAATCAATATTTTAAAAGGCGGGGGCGTGAGGCGAGGCGTTTTACCTCTGACGAGGCGAGGCGTAAGCCCTGAGACATGGGGCGTAAGTCCCACGGATCTTCAAATTTACTAATTTCAAGAATTTTAAGATAGTATAAAATAAAAAATAATTATAAAAATTACATTAAAATCACAAAATTATAAATAATCTATTTAAAAATATTTATAAATTATAATTCAACTATAATAATACGAAAAGTATGACAATATCATAATATGCAAATTAGCTGCAACTCGTTACAGCACAAACATCAAAAGTAATGTATTCGATACGAAATCTTATATGTATCTCTTAAGGAGTAATGAATCTTGAAAGAATTTCGATATTATAATTTGATATTTTTCTTAAAATACTCCTTTTATTCAATATGCTTTGCATTTGAAAGAGAATTTATATAAAAACATAATTCACAATTTAAATGTGATTCTCAAGCATCGTTCATTTTTAAGTTTCAACAAGTTCATAAGTGACACATAATTCACCATACAATACCATGATAACTAATTATTTGTAAATACTTACTAATACTGAACTATTAAATTAATAAGTATTGTATCTCATAAACATGAAAAAAATAATATTTAGAAAAATAATTAGGAACTATAATATAGTAAAGACATACAAAAGTTAATAAATAAATACTTTTTAAATGAAAGGGTTTATTTAAAATTAACTATCATAGCAGTCTTAGTGGATAACGTGCAATAATTTTTACTTTAATTACGATATAAAATACTCTAAACTTAATAATTTATAAGTAGGAAAAAAGTAATTTTGAATAGTCGATGATTTATTAAGAAAATTTGAGGATTTACAAGGTTAGTTACATACAATTGCATAAAGTTCTATTAGGCGAGCGTAGTACGCTGGGCGTTGGGCGTGTCCGGGGCGTAAGCCCCAATGGCCGAGGCGTAAGTCTCACGGAACTAAGCCCCACACATAAGCCCAGTGGCGTTTTACGAGTGCTCCGTCCCGGGGCGAGCCCCGGGCGAGTCCCAATTCTGCCTTTTAAAACAGAGGTTTTAATTTCTTAGCTCACAATCAAATATTTATATATTAAAAGGGTTTAATCAAAAGCTATGGATTTGTTCGAACCTGTACGTGATACGGTAACTCCGCCCCTGATTGTGTGGAAGAGTCTCGCTGAAATGTGGCGGTGTTGATAGATTGATTGATATTTGAAATGCTGGTCGTCATACTTTCTCTTACGTCCTCTATCGCAATGGTAGAAAAACCTTGAGAATTGAGTGATATTTTGATGCTTATTTGAGATTGAGTGACCCGAGCAAACAGACTATTCTTAGTTGTAGCAAAGCTCCCAGTTGGCCTAATCTCTTCAAGTTTTAATGAGGATTCTTTAGTTTCAGAACTTTTAGGAATATGCAGATATCAAATTCTGCTTGAACTGATCAACTTTGCAGTAACATTTCTCGAATTCTGATTGGTTATAGAAAGCATGTACTTAGCATGTACTCAAATCATGCTTAGTGCTGTTTGGTGAAGTTTGAGCCATCCTACAGATGCCTTGTTACCATGTGCAATATTTTCTAGTGCCAATCCTTTTAGAAGTTACCATTTTAAAAAGGAAATATAGTTAGTCTCAAACTGTTCTTTCAGAAATGATTTGTCACATTTGGCAGAAGTAGTTTTGTAAAGACAGTTGAATTTAACCTTTGATTTGGCAAAACTGCAAGTAGTGTATGCTGTTTCTGGACATATTTTTGTTGTTCGTTGTTTCCCCTCCCAGATAACTATAGCACAAAGATTAGACACTTAAGAGTGTGTTTGGTATAACGGAAAATATTTTCCAAGAAAATATTTTCTTGGAAAATAAGTCGTAATCTTATTCATTTTCTGGTGTTTGGTACGCAAATTAAGGAAAATAACTTCTCAAGAGTATTCATAAATAATTTAGATACAATAAACATGAAGTCATAAACTTTCGAACCAACAACCTTCCGAATCCACAAATTTCATAAAGTTTCGACCCGCTAAACTTTCGAAACCACAAACTTTCGAACCCATAAACTTTATAATTTTAAAACCCGTAAACTTCCAAACACATAAACCTCCGAACTCATAACTTTGGAACTTGTAAAATATCGAACCTGTAAATCGAAAGATGAAAAATTGAAACTCAAAATATATAAAAAAATATTTTTTTCCCTGGAGGTGGGGGGTGCAGAAAAACGAAAAAACAGAAATTTAAAAATTATAAAAAAAAAAGTAAATTTTTTTGTGCGGAGTGGGGGCAGTGGGGTGGGGTTTGGCGGGGTGGTGCACAAAAACAAAAAAATAGAAATTTGAAACTACAAAAAAAAGGTAATTTTTTTTTTACTGGGAGGGAGGATAGCAGGGTGGGTGGTGACGGGAAAAAGGTGAAATTTGAAAAGAAAAAAAAAAACTTTTGGGAGAGAGGGGGTGGGGTGGGTAGGCGTGGGAGGGGTTGAGTGGGTGGGTATAGGGGTGTAGGGTGGGGTGGTGAGGGTCGGGAAGGTTGAGAAGGAGTTTTGAAAAATGTTTTCCCTTCTCAAGGAAAACATTTTCCTTCATTTGGAGGAAAATGAGTTCATAAGGAAAATATTTTCCAAAACATTTAAGCCAACCAAACATGGAAAAATTAAAAAATTGATACGTTTTCCTTCATACCAAACACACCCTTATTTAAAAGATTTTTTTCAAGTTTTTTTTTGGGGTATGAAAAGGAGACTTGCATTGCTTCAAACAGATAATTTTTTTAAATTTTTTATATAACAAAAACACAATGCGAATTCTTTAAAAAAAAAAGGTGGTTAAAGTAATGGGTCAAATAATAATAACCCGGGTCCAGGACCCTTTCCTATACAAAACAACCAGGTACAAAATTCACACTTGACTCTCCTTTCTTCCTTCAACGAAGCAGCAATGACAATCACTCTTCCGACCACCTCTTCCTTGTATCTACACTCCAGAACTAAAGTACCTCAGCCTTCTTTAAGGTACCCCCTTCCCCTTTTTCTCAATTCAATTGGTCTCCCACAAAGTAAAATAACGGCAAAGTTAACACTTTTTATTTTCTTTTTCCTTCTTATATTCTTTTCAGCTGTGCCAGCAAAATTTTTGTCGGATTAAGAATGCAATCTCCGGGTATGTTTTTATTACATCATAGTTATCTTATATTGTGCTTTCTTCATGTTTTAATTGGTTAACTGTTTGCTTATTATTTTTTTGGGCAGATTGTTATGGAATTGCAACATCTAATGTAAATGTTAAATTTCATAATAGAGTTTACAGAAGTATTGAATGAGGGTAATCTTGTTCTTCTTAATTACTCTTTGCACCCAAAAAGTTCTTGTCTTGAATAATTTTTTTGTTTTTTTATAATGGTACCTTGTAGTTCTGTCTTGAATAATGCTATTTTACTCTCATATAGAACCTAGTTTATATAAAGTATATGGTCCATAAGGGTGGATCGAGGATTTGGACTGGTGGGTTGATTCTCTACCAATGCTAATGGATCTTTTGACATAAGCATATAAGGTTGAGCCAAAAGTAGTGAGTTCGAACGAACTCGTTACTTCTTCTTTTTTATAACGGTAGTGTCGGGGCCAGCTTGCCCACCTCGATTATTCACTAAGTACTTGCTACGTCCTAGCTGCACATGTATTGGGTAACTTTGCCCGCCAAGGCTTGGACAACTAGAAAGAAATCGCCTACGCTAGGATTTGAACTTGAGACATCATGGTTCTCCTCCCACTTTATTGACCACTAAGCCATTCCCTTGGGTTGGATGGACTTAGTGCTTATGTACTTGGTCTGCCTGTATGGAAGGAATTGAACTTGAGTTTTAATGTCGTGAGAAGCATAGACGATGTTGAATGTAGAGGTGAATGGTCTTCTTAGTTCTAAAATTTAAAGTAGTATTTTGGGAAGCTGTATATGCTTTTCTATACAGAAAATCAATTTCAGAAAATAGCATATCAATTTTCTTCCTTCCTTCTGCTTTTCATACCTATGCATATTTCCTTTTAGTTCCTTGCCGTCCCATCGGAACATATTTTCTGTGGGAGAGGTCGAGAGGAAGATGCTGCAGGGTTGTTTAATTTAATGTTTAGAAATGGGAAACAAGTTGTCTTTTTATCTGCCTGTAAATTTTTGTCGAGCTTAGTTGTTCTGTTCATGTTCATCTTGGAGCCATAATCCTTTCCCCCAGCTACTAACAGAAAATGCTTTGTGGACAAGCCAAAAAGGCCTAGTGCCCGGAAAACAATATGATTTGACCCGAGGATTGTAAAATTTACTAAGAAGAACTTAGCATATAGGTTATGACTCAACGATTAGATGTGTGGAGCTATCCTTCACTTTACCGAGCTTTGTTTAACCTCTGCATTTTGCTGCTGATTTGTTAATCTTACACTCAAGCCTTCTCATTTGTCAGCCTTGTTTTTTCTTTCATGTCTTTTTGCTTCTATCTTTGAAATTATTTTTTCCAAAGCTCACGCCATCTTTTCTCAGTCTTCTACATTTATTCTTTTGGTCCCTCTTCTTCAAAGTACCAAATATTCCCAAAATCCTCAGTTCCTCTCAATCTCTACTTGTAATCCTCCAAATTGTTTCTCTGCATCATCGCCCCAAATGTGCAGCGAAGAGAGTTGGATGAGCGGTTTTGTTCTGTTCGTTTCATCGATTCTATGCCTGCTCATTGTTGTCCACCTATACTTGTTGCTTTGACTTGCCAGGTCTTTTCACTCAATTCCCACTCTCTCCTCTAGGAGCTCAAGTCTCCAACTTCCTCCTAAACTCCTTTCATATCCAAACCTGACACTTAACTCTCCGTGAACTCTTTCACTAAGTCAGCATAGCTTATGTGTACTATCAAATATCAAATATTTTCATAGTTTAAATCAGAACATTAAGCTACTTCATCCACAAAAAAAAGAGATGTCAGCAAATATCAATGAGGTGTAGCACTTGCCTCAATCTTAATTGATAGTCTCTAACAATCTTGTGCCTTGCATGTTCACCTGTTCTTAATTTCATTACTAGATATTGTCCATTCTGACTATATTCCATCTTTTATTGAGTAAAATCTCCATTTTCTTTTGGATAGAATTTTTGTACATTTTTTCTCGAGTTTCATTTGGCTGCTGCTTGTGTTTGTAACCTAACCCAGAGTTCATACTTCCAGAGCTAGAAATAGTAAACCAACACGTGCACGAGTTTCTATGATGCCCATTGGGACCCCAAGGGTGCCCTACAGAAATCCAACTGAGGGAACGTGGCAGTGGGTTGATTTGTGGAATGCTCTTGTAAGTAACATGTTTTCAGTTCGAAGTACCTTTGTTTCTCCTTTGGCTAATTTGATTAATAATCAATACTTTTGATCTGGGAAATATCACTGAGTTCTCTGATGCAGTACCGTGATCGTGTTATTTTCATTGGCCAACACATAGATGAAGAATTTAGCAACCAGACATTGGCAACAATGTTGTACCTTGACAATATTGATCATTCCAAAAAACTCCACCTGTATATCAATGGCCCTGGTGGTGATGTGAGTTCTTTACCAATTTTACTTTATTGACAGAGTTTCCTATTTTATTAGAAACACCTTGATTTTCTTCTAAATTTTGTGTCCAGATGCTTTCTTTCTTCTTGTTATTTGCTTAAAGTTACTTCTATTTACAGCTAACTCTAAGCATGGCCATCTACGACACAATGCAAAGTTTGAAAAGTGTTGTTGGCACCCACTGTGTGGGCTATGCCTACAATCTTGTCGGTTTTCTTCTTGCTACAGGAGAAAAGGTACTGTAGTCCTCTCCTAGTGATGAAATGTGAAAAAAAACATTGTGCTTATCGACAATGTCTTGCTTAGACTAGCTTTCGGAGTTGTTTGCGCCTGATTATTTTATGTAAGATAGGATTGACTTGTCTGGATGTATTGGTGTGTTTCGTATTTTCTTATATTTATTTCTTCAGCATTTGACATGAAAAGAAATTTGCCAGTATCAACCACTTGTGATGGCATCCCAAATATAAGAGTTTATTTTATCTTATTTTAACCTAGCCTGATTATGAGTTGGTCTTGTCTCTTTCCAAAGGCCTCCATCTAGAGTTGCGATCCTATATTCTAATGTGCTGTGAAACCTCGGAATTATTGGGGTTGGGGTTGGGGTTGGGGTTGAACCGAAATTTGAGGGTCAAGTTATGGCACTAGTCGTATATCCTTGTTCAGTGTTATGCTTCTCTACTAAGGCTGTACCACCTGGTTAATTATTGGAGCATCACAAAACGTTGTACCGAAGGAACTGCCAATAGTTGTTTTGCTGTAGGGGCATCCATGTCCAAAGTTAGCCCAACAGTCACTTCCCATTGGGACTATAATCACTTCGGTGTCAACCTTCCGTACTTGGATAGTGGGAATTTATCCCATTTGGTTGCACCCTTTTGTGATGAAAAATATTAATGCAAAGACCACAAACAATGAGATATAGATAGACCTGTTTAATTATCTCTACTTATTTTAGAAGATGGTATAATAGTGGCAAACACTCTTGGGAAAAAGTTCTCCAGGATTCTTTGCTTTGGCCAGTTTCTTTTGTTAGTGATGTGATTGTGCCTGCTGTTGTAAAGATAAGACCTTATTTTACTGTGGAAAGGCAACTAAAGCTCAATGTTAATTTGAAAAATTTCCATTGTGAAGGTCAATCGATTTGCAATGCCTCTTTCAAGGATTGCACTACAATCTCCTGCTGGAGCTGCACGCGGACAGGTTTGTCTGCATGAAGCAGATGAACTTCTCAGAATTAGAGATTACCTTTTCAAGGAATTGGCTGAGAAGACAGGCCAGCCTGTTGAAAAGGTATATATTGCCTTCATCTGGATTTGGATATTTTGTTTTAAGAGAAAATGAAACATACCTTAAATATAACATATCAGTTACACATGATCTCCCTAAATTTAAGATTCTTTTCTCTTTCTTTAACAATTACCCATATTTGTACTTACCCACCGTAAAAATTCTCCCACAGATACCCAAAATCTTTCTAACCCAAAAATCTCGCTTACTCACGTCTCTTCCAATGTTTTTGATATCCGATTTCTCTCTTTCAATCATACACTGTTATAATTCCAAAATTGCAGATTCTTTCCTCTTCCAAAGCTTTTGATATCTGATTTCTCTCTTGTTTTCTTATTTTCTAAAATCTATATTGTATGTCACTTGTATATGACACATCAATAGCCAAAATAATATTTGATACAATACTAATACAATTATAGTACGATTATATTAGATTTTTACTGTAGAATTGTGATTGAAACTTGAAGAAGATGAAGATCATAATCGAGTCACAATTTTTCGTAAATGTATCACGATTGTATTATAATTGTATACGTATCATAATTGTTGAAGGGATTGTATTATAAATGTATGATAATTATATATTCATTGTATATTATAACGAGCAATTGTGAGTTCGTGAAGAATTTCATGATTTGTATCACAAATATATGATAATTGTATATATTAATTTATTAGTATTATATCGGGTATTATTTTGGGTATTAATGTACCATATACAAGTTAGACACAATTGTGATACATATATGATACAATTATGTTTTAGGCATTGATGTATATGATATAATTCAAATACAATTACGATACCATTACCATACAATTCTTGAATATTTCTTCATCTTCACTGTTGTCCACTCTCCCAGCAAAAGAACGATACAATTGATGATTTTTAATAATATAAAATTATCGGCAATGGTGAGAAGAAAAAAGATGAAGATTCTGGCATAAATTAAGGGATTTTGATGTAAAAAAGGAAGGAGAGAGAATAGGAGAGGGAAAAAAGAAGAAAATGATATAATCGAATCCCTTAATTGAAAACACTAATAATGGGGTTGGAGGCTTTTAAGGAGCAATCTACATAATTTGTATGAAAAACCTAGATGCTTATTAAAAACTACAAAACATAGAGAAAATAGGTAATTAAGTTTCTAATATAGTATAATTAGGTAAAAATCCCATATTTTTTTTATGCTCTTTAATTTCTGAATTTCATTATATGCTCGTTGGAAAAAGATAAAGGGCAACATTTTTCGTTTTTCACTTTACATTTCTCCTAACATTTGAAAGTGACAATTAGTAAGAATTTGAATCTATAACATCCAATCCTAATGAAATAAAACGCTGAATCACACCACCATGGAAGTTTAAAGCTATTAATCTTCATCTAAATATAATATAAAAGATTTATCTGAAAAATCGCATCTTTTTTGTGGAACAAAAAGAACATTTAATCCATACAACCTAATTAATCATACCCTCTAAAAACACTAGGTGGAGCCCAACATTATAAAAGTAGTTAACCATTATTTTTTATTAACTTTGTATTAATATGAAATGGCAAAAAGAGACAGACAATATCCCATAACTTTATTTTGGTATGAAATAGCAGAGAAAAGAAATAAACACATGTAAAAGATTACATTATTTTAAAGGCAAAATACATAAACGGCCCATTGAAGTTGTCCTCAACGACCAGCTGAACACCTCAATTGACCCCTTTATCACCTAGACCCTTCAAGTGACTATTAATTAGATCAAATAAACAACCGAATGCAACAGACCAGATACGTGAGTTACACTTGCCAATGATGTGTCAAATGAGTCAATCAGTGAGCGACACGTGTATTTTATAATTAAAAAAAATAAATAAATAAATTTAAAGAAGAAATAAACTTTTTGCCCTCACTATTAACCAAAGCAGCCCCCCCCCCTCCCCCCACTTCATCTTATTCCTTCAGAACCAAAACCAGCGCTACAACCCTCCTGTACCCCCCCCCCCCCCCCCCCCACTTCCATCTTCTTTCTTCTGCCCTTCTTCTGCGTCTCCTTCCCCTTTTCCCTAATTCACTCTCCATCCAACTAATTAAGACCCTTCCCCTTTCCGCCTTCTTCTCCAATATACCCTATACTCAAAATTTATCCATCCATACTTGATGACACAAAGTTAGAAAGATGCCCGGCGCCAAAGGTCTCCACTTGCAAAGGGCTAAAAAGAATTACAATTACTTATTCGTTGGCAGTGTTATTTTAATTTGCAAATTTTGTCTGCATTTATCAAGTTTACAGATGTAGCCAAGCAAATCATAAATACGATTGAGACGTTCCAAGTAGAGAATCTTGATCTTGTTAGAGATCAGCAAAAAAGAATCATGATTCACTGGGATTTTCAGTCTTCTTTCTCCGTCATTTTCTTGGTCACGAATTTGGGCTTATTTTGCTTTTATTTCTCTAATTTATTTTTTTTGGTGTAAAATTATACGTCGATTTATCAGAATGAAGGTATTGTTAGATGAAAGAGGATGAGATTTGGTGGTTTTTCGCAGCTATTGTTGCTGCAATTTTGCTGCTCTTTCAGCTAGCTCGGGATTAGTTTTTTCTCGACGGATATAGGCGAAGCTCTGGAGGTTATGGGCAGTAAGTTCTTTGATGAAAGGCGATATTTTTTAGTGATTTAAGGTGGCTTAGTTGGAGCTTTAGTGACTGATTTTCATGGAAGCTATGGTAGTTTTATGGTGGGTTGCACTTGAAAGAAGAAGAGAGGCTAAGGTGAGGTATTTCATATTTTTTCTTTTAAAAAAAATAAAAATTAGGCTGCAAAAATGTTTCACGCGCTCAAAATTTGATTAGCAATCACGCATATGCCATATTAGCGACATGTGTTTATTTGATCTAATTAACAGTCACTTAAAGTGTCTAGGTCATAAAGGGGTCAATTGAAGTATTCAGCTGGTCGTTGAGGACAACTTCAAGGGACCATTTATGTATTTCGCCTATTTTAAATTATTATATTACTTGCAAGCAGTTAAGAGTTATCTACTCTTTTAGATTAAGGGTGCGCATTCAATTTATCGATTCGATTTTGACCCTTATCGATAATTACTTATCGATTATCAATTTGTACATATACTTATCGTTATCGTTTCAATAAGTTTTCGATTTTTTCAATTTCGAGTTATCGATTTTTAGGACTTATCGATTCGATTATCGATTACACCAATAAGAAAATTTGTGAAATTCCACAAAAAGTATATCGCTATAAATACGCCTAACTAATATGGACAAAAAGAAGCTAAAATAAAACGAACATCGCTTATAACATAAAAATTGTGTCAACAAGCACATGCAGCGATACTACAGTAAGGGATCAAATGTATGCCACCAACACTCCACAACGATATAAAAAAATACATCATCACGACTAATTTTATTTTCCATTAATTTGAACTTCATTCCCTTGAGCTTTAAATATGATCATTCCTTAAATGTGATAGAGAAAATAATAGGGTTAGGAACTTAGGATAAAGGAAAGGTTATTATAGAATAAGAGATAAAAAGAAGTTTTAAAAAAAAAATTTAGATTTTTTTCTTTTTAGTATATCTTATCGGTTTATCGATAACCGATAAACCGAAGAGGACAAATCGAAATCGAAATCGAAAATTCAATAAGGAAAATTTCGAAATCGAAACCGATATCTCGATAAATCGATATCGATAAACCGATAACAAATAATCGATTTGATTTATCGATAAACCGATTCGAATGCACACCCCTATTTTACATGAGCGAAAATAGCAATTACATAACTTCCATGAGTACAAACTGGTATTTGCACTAAAAAAATAAATTCAGATGCTTTGAGTTGTCTTGGCAGACTTTTAGGTGCATAATACAGTTGCCCATACCAAAATCATAGTTAATCATAATGAAGAGAGTTTCCCATACACATATGTATGATATGGTTCTTTTTAACAAAATATGCAAAAAATGTCATAACAATGGTGTTCTTTCTATAACCAATCCACAACAAGGGCTACTGCATCTTTTTCAGCTTTGCTTCTTGTAGCTATAAAGCATGCTGTTGAAAGAAAAATTAATTTGTAAATTATGAAGGTAAACAGAGAAAAGAAAGAAAAGATAAGTATATCTATGAAACATCCAAATCTACAGAAACTAAATAAAGAATGGGTATCTCTAAGGCGAAATTCACACCATGCTGTCATAAATGCTCACATGCATTTACAAATGCAGTTAACAGTAGAAGCAGATGCGCTGAAAAATAATTTCAAGCAGCAGTTAGTTACTCCATAATCGTAGTGAAAGCGGCCACACCGGAAGTTATGAAATTTGACACCAAAGATTCAAAAGAGAACATGCATAAGCAAAATCAAACAGTTTCTTCAAATTTAGTTGCTCTATTTTGTAATTAATCATCATAAAGTTACCATTCCCATATCTCTCTGTTTGTCGTCCCTACATCTAATAATCCCCTTGATCAAGAAGCTGGAATTATTTGATGAAAAGGTAAAGGATAACCATTAAATAGTACCAAGCTGGCTGAAAGAGTACATATGAGAAGGGACTTTCTTCTATAAATTGAAGGAGTACAGAAGGTCTAGTAGTGACTCAAAATCTGCTATAATATCCCTCCTACAGGAATAAACTTTTCAAACATCTAGATTTCACAAGTGGGGCACTTTCCTTTCCATCGTTGAAGCATCTGTTATTTCTCTCAAGCCAACTGTTGCGAAATATGTAGATTGGGATTGAACTGCAGTAAATTGGAATGGGTGTTCTGACGGGAAAGAATTAATGTACTCCAATTTAACACACTTAAAAAATCAGATTCTCAAGTTATTACGATTAGACTTCTAGTAGTTGTCAGCAACTTTCAGCTCCTAAAGATATGTTAAATACTATAAATGATTTTAATTGATGACCCCCTTCCTAGATGATTTCTATGCTTGAGAGTGCATCATTTTCGTCTTCCAGGCGACAGGCGACACGTGTTTAGCAGAGTCATTTGTCTTGGACAACTGGCTATTACTTCTATTTTCACTTCTATTTCTCATATACTCCAATTTTTATTCCGTACGTCTCTCTCACCTTTCTTTTTTTGGGAACTTTCACAATTTCTTTCCGTTTCATGGTTTGGTGCATTTGCATGAATTTTTTTTTTTGTCCTTTCACTGTAATGAGTCTTTGTTTTCTATAGATAATTAACCCCTTCAAAACTACGTTAAAAAGTTTTGTCATCTATACTCATGCAATGTAAGCGGTGTTAAAAAACAAACTACACACTTTCTCCAAAAAGATATCAACTGAAAGGCAAAATTGAATAATTTGGTGCGGAACTGATGCTTTCTATTAGCTTACCTCGTAAAGCCAGAGTAGTTAGACGCAGTAATCAGACATTAATTCCGGAAACCTGCAAACAGTGTGCGTCAGCCATTAAAGCAAAATAGGCAAACCACATCTTTTCTAGTCTTTTAGCAATATTACCAGGTTCAATGATTGTAGAATGCACAATATCATGTAAGATGGTAGCAAGGTTTTCATCAGAGAAGAAAGGTGGCCAAAGAAGAGGAAACAAAGTTCAAATGAGCTTAAATTCTAGTCCTTACCTTGTATGTTTCCAGCGGAAGCAAATACTTGCATAAATAAACTCAAGGTATGTTTAAGGCTTTAAGCAAAATTGCATAAAGAAATTCAATGGTAGGAGTAGTTAGGATTCCTTATACTCTAAGGAAAAATCATGCTGTGACACAGAGTGAAAGAGTATTAGCCTACATCCTTTATCTGGAAATAACATATCCTATCACTGAACTTACATTGAGCTTATAAAATTCTTAGCAACTAAAGAAAGAATAGAGGAAGAAGTGTGCACATGGTTGTTTAAACCATAATATAGAAAAAAACATATAGAGTATGTAATTATTAATATTAAGACATTCTGTCATGCTTTTTTAAACCATAATCTGAAAAATTAATCACAAGTACTGAATCAATAATCTTACTATATCAACTCTAATAATAAAACAGAAAGAGCTCGACAGCTAACTTTATTCTAAACGGAGACTGAACAAAGAGATTAAGCAGAACCAAGAATGAGACTTTTAGTGGAATTCAAATGCACTCGTAACTGTGACGACCATGGCCTTTTATACCTCAAAGATAAGGGAAACTAAGCATGGAGGATTCAAGGTAGATCTAAAAGTGGGCAACTTTCTTCTTTCTCATATGGAGGTTTAGTCCCTTCATTTTAGGATATGCGGATTTAAACACTGAGCAGAAAAAACACTAAGATAGGGGTTCCTTCGGACAATTTGTGAGAGATGTTATCAACGGTTACTGACCTATGCTCTCCTTCCGTCCAAGCGATATGTACCATGGTGCCGCTGCAAACCTAACCTTATAGAGTTTTGTTTACCTCCACCATTTTATTGTTTAATTTGCCTGAACTCATTCCAATACTTTGATAAGCATCACAATGTTCTATAAATCCCACACATGAGTCATCAAAGGGATATTGGCTAGAAATATGGTGATGTACCAAATAACAAATTGCAGCATGAGTAATCCATAAGAGCCTGTTATTCTGACTTCAAAAATTGAGAGAGTACACCCAATTTATCAAAAAGCCTGTTATTCTGACTTCAAAAATTAAGCAATTATTATCTTGAACAGAGGACTGTAACCCCTTGACAGCTTATCACATGTTTATCCCTATCTTTTCCCGATGACAAAATGAACAAAAGAGAAAAATGAAATAAGCACATTAATTTCTTCTCCGTTTATAGCATTCTTTATAGGTGGCAAACAAATGACTTCTCAATAGTCTGTGAAACTACTTTGAAGAAAGCTCAATAGTGACGGTAGTTCTCCACGTGACTTTTACGTATATCACAAATTTATACAGCTAGATTAAATGGAGTCATGTGAATAGAGGATAAGATTTATTACCAGATTGGCTATAGTGCAACTAAAGTCTTCAGGGAACAACTCGAACAACTTCTGCTTGTCAGTTCGTCCATTGGTGAAAGTCTGGCATAAGAGATCAATTTATTTCAATAAAGTAGAAAGCTTTTGGCAAATAAGATTGAAGGCATACAGATAATGAATTTAGGAATATACCATGATATGTTACTCTACAGTTAACAATTCGAGTCACACAATAGCCATGAAATTGCAAAATTAGAAGTATGAAGAGAACCCAAAACAAACACCAAAAGAAAATAATGAAGAATATAAGTAGGAAGAGAACCCAAAAAGAGGACCCAATATAAATAGTTTTGGAAAAAGATAAATGGGAGAGATAGATACAAATCAGGAATATTGAGGTTGAAGATGAAGAGATTGTTTCTCTATCACATGTATAAGCTTTCGTTTGTCCCTCTGTCTCTAATGGTTAATTAAAACCCAGCTAGGTTAGAGCTTGAAAATGGAGTTTCACCATCAGGTTTTACATACACCAACCATTGGATTGCGAAATTAAGAATTATAAAGAACCAAAAAAGATGCGGGTAGAAATTAAAAGAGGAACAAACCTGTAGTTAAGCACACCGTTGAGAGCAAGAGCACCAACACTTCTGAGAGAGCCTATGGAAAATGGAGAAATAAAGTACATACAGTACAAAGAAAGAAAGAAAACAACTTGTATGTTGTCTATGGGGACTTAGGGAGACAATTGGAACGATTTGCAGTGAACACGTAGAGTCGTGGAGGAATAGGTGAACGTTTAAGTGGCACTACTATGTGAAATGAAAAGACTAAAATGCCCTCAAGCTTTATGGAAAAGACACAAAGCACACAGGTCGAAACCTAATCTTTTCTAATATATAGTAACTAGATGGTTGGGTCGGGCCCAATAACATACAAGTTATAATTTTTATTTTGATATGGAATTGCAAATAATAAAAAATTGATATACCTAAATGATAATCAAATTGGATAAAGACGATATTGTGCACCAACCAACTGCTGGATAACATTTACGTACATAAAGACAGAATGTTCGTTGTTGGTTGTTGCGTGGCTCCCGAACGGCATAATTTTTTTCATCTATAGGAGATTATTTCACTTATATACTATTTGCATATTTACAAAATGAAGTGCAGCCACCATGCTGTGGTTAGGCTCATGTCTTGTCTGCCTTCGTCAATAATATTGGTACTTGTAAGCTATGTTGCTCGGACTATTCGAAAATATCGATGTGTGCGTCAAGAGAACTAAATTGTTAGTCGTAATTGACATGCTTTTCTGAACCTTATCTGTAGACATCCCTATTTGTGCTTTCATTGTACCTTTAGCATGCTCCAAAAGACTCCTGCTAGTAAAAAGAGATGCAAGTACACACGAATACTTCACATAGCTGCACAGCATGTAATAAAAATCTCAGAATCAAAAACCTATTCCGCTCTAACAAGATCCATTTCTCACTAATATAACATAATTATGTCAAAAACACAGAATAATAGGGCAGCTACAGACAAACCCCCATAATTGTATCAACCATGAAGGAATTCAAGAGTATTGAGCACATAAGCATAATGAATTCCAGAAATTGGCTAATAATGGTTAATCTCTTTCTTTCCATTTACCAGAAACAAATAAAAGGTCATCTTGGATTAAGTTACAATGTCAGTAATGTTGAGACACTAGTGACATCCAACATTCTACATTAAAAATAATAATCACAGAATATTGTCACCAACTAAAATTATATTTCATGTCTGAAGGAGTAAACACAAAACGAAACATGTGAAGCTTCATCAGACACTATAGGACGGGAAATTTAGTTTAAGATGCTAGTACCAGGTTACATGTGGGAGAAGAAGAGGGGAAAAAACTAATTTACTTATTTAAAAAATAGAGAAAACAAACTCATTGTTTCACAGTCAAATTGAAGGTAGACTATAGGTAGTACCTGGTATGTTTCTAGGGAAGCAACACCCTGCACAAGCAATGCAAAATAGAAATTAGTATTTCCGTACGATACGTTCCTGAAGGATCACTAGTTCAACAATTCAAATAAAAATTCAGAGAAAAAAATGAATTCATGAGATTTTACTGAGTTGAGTTGTATTATATATGAATATAAAAGAGGAGAACAAATTTACTGAGCTTAATACATAAGATTTTACCACACTGAGGGGTCTTGTTTCAATTCTATCAGCGACATAACTTTCAGTTATGGACAATATCAAATCCTTTACCAAGACACTACAACCTTTAAATGTTTTCTATTATACAATGTCAAGGCGCATAAACCAATGTAGAGGTTTTTCTAAGACAATGATTAAATAAATTTTGAGATGGAATATAAATAAATCCACGACTGAGATATTTGATGGTCAATGTGGAATGAATGAATTTTTGTCTATGGGAATTTTTTTTATTTTACCAATTGGGGGATGTTTGCTTTCGATATATGAAACAACCTAAAAAATAAAAATAATTTCACGACCAGAATAATTTAATCTCTATGCATAGCAAGTCATGTTCTATTTGATATTTCGATTTGAACAACATTAATATTAACATTAGAATTTACGCACAATAAATGAGTCAAAATAAGAATGAAAATAAAGAAAGAATAGAAGTCTTTGCTTCTTCCCTGTTCAATTTATCCCGGGCTAATTCATGGAGCAACCTCGACATGAAAATTTTAATATACAATGATCATCCTCCTTCTGCTGGTTCTTAGACTATGTTAGGAGAGGTAGACCTCAGAATATTCATAAAAAATATCGGACAACATAAGTTGCACAAAATCACCATTTTAATTAACTCGTCCTAATTTACATCCTTGATAATTACCTTAGCCGGATAAGGATTAATCATATAGTGGCGGTCTTTCTAAGAGATAGTAATATTTATACAAATCCCGAAAATCAAAGCATAAAGAAATACTTAAAAGTCTTGTTACCTGCATTGACAAAATTTAGAAGCTTCCCTGAGAGAAAATGCAACAGCTCAATCTAAAGAACCAACGAAGAACCACATCAATCCACCTAATGAACTTAAATACAATCTCTCATACCTTCCGGTGTGCAGTAACCCAGAAACAATGATGATCCATGCGCTTTTGCCATGAATGCCAAACAAAATTAGCCTGCCAAACACCAAAAGTAAAATATCCAGTATTAATGAACAATACCCCAACAAAATATTAAAGAAATTTAAAAGAATTAATCACTTAAAGGAAGGCAAGGAAAAAGGAATAAGCAGGAAGGGTCCCAGGATAATGCCACTAAGTTAACAGAAAATGATACGATTTAAAATGGTAAAGGTTGGAGCTACTGGTGGAGCTTGTACAATGGGCTTGTTAGGTTGTACGGTGAAATTAGAGAGAGGGGTCTGCTGATCAGTTAACAACTTTTGCTTTCAGCATTTAAGTCCACTTTAACTAGTTTACCTTATTATTTAATTATCATTATAAATTTCCTTTATTATAGTTTAGTCCCTAGCTCCTAATTCACTATATGTACTGAGTTTTGCCCTTTCAGAGGCTTATGAATGAAAAACCTTTTTATATTATTTGCATTATTTTCTTCTCTTTTTAGCTTAGCTTAGCTTTAGTTAAATTTTCTTCCTCTCTGAAATTCAATATTCCTAACAGTGGTATCAGAACAATCATCCTCGCTCCGTGGGTAATCATCAATGGCGTTCCAAAACCCTCTTTATGGCTCTAAGTTCACTGCCAATAACTCTTTACGAACTGTTTTACCTGCATTTCTTTCGCAGGATTTCAACAATGCAAAGTATCAAGGTAACAATCCCTATGATTATACTTATCCGTATGGGTATAGCAATATGGGATGTGGAAACTATTCTAGTGGGTACCAACAGCATTACAATCAACCCTACTATGCGTATAAGCCATACGAGTTTTCCACTGCTGTTCCTAATTACTGGACTGCCGGCGTGGTACCAGGAGGAACCACGGCTATGGGTTTCTTCTCCGGCAATAACATGGCTTCTTTCAACAGCAGTTCTGAGTATTCCCACCCTTCTCTGTCGTCTCAACAACAATTTCTACCTGTTAACACCATTGTTGATGTTTCTACTCCCATCGATTTTTCGAGTGACCGAGAGATTCCGACTATTGTTGGTGGAGGTGATATTCCGACAAGGATTCTAGTTCCGAGAATAGCAGACGACGAACATAAATTAACTGTTTTTGGGATAACAGAGCCTTTGCGCGAGGAAAGGAGTTCTAAGGAAGCTGAGCTATTAAAGGATGAATCACTTTTACCCTCTAAGCTGCAGCTAGGATCAATGAAGAGACAAACTGAGTTTTCTTCATTAGTATCAACACCTGTTGTGTGTGCGCAGAAGGTGTTTGATAAAATGCCAATGGATGAAGTAGTGTTGCCTTTTGACAAATTAGCTTCTCTTTCTAACGATCAACTGGAAAATGAAGCAGTCATAGAGGCATGTGTTTCAATTGTTCAAGTTAGAATAGAGGAGGCAAAAGAGAATGATGACGTGGTGGTGGAGATAAAGCTTTCAACTATTGAGGCTAAAGTTTTGGAACTGAATCCAACAAGGCATGAGGAATTGGAAACTGCTTCAACATTACATGATTCACATTCACAAGGTGCTCATCTAGACGAGGGAGATAAAGCAAAGTGTGTTGAGGAAGAGACTACTAATGTGGTGGACAACAAAGATAGCAGTCTGATTACTCATGTTCCTACAACTGTCGCTTTCACTGCGGTTGCTGAAAAAAGTCGCTACACCATGAGAAATCCTATCGCTACCTTGAAGAAGTATTTGCGTGAGAACAACCTTGCCGAAGAATTGGAGTTAAAGGTCACAGATAAGAAGAATGGTGAGTTGGTTGAAGAGGCTATTGAGTTTGCAGATGCAACCCCTGTCCCAGCTCGTAGCCAGCTGCTAGAGAATGTAGTTGCTGATCCTAGAAGCTTTGTAATTGGGCCTGATCGAAGCTACAGAAGTGAGAATTCCAAGTTCACTGGTTCTGAAATAGGTGTAGATCTGGGCTGGGATCCTGAAGTTGCTCAGGTACTTCGAGTTTCAAAGGGAAAGGAACGAGTGAGGCAAGAAGCAGCTTCAAAGAGGAGTACAGTAGAAGCTGCGAAGCAAGAAAATGGAGGAAAATGTACGACTTCCGAGGATGTAGCAGTTGCTAAAAATGTGAATGCTGCTACTTCTGAACCTAAAAACATGGCAATTTATCCAATGGAAGATGATCATTCCCTATTACAGTACACTCTTGCTAAAGTTGCTGCACTATGCCGTATTGAGATCTTTGATGCAGTTCTAAAACTCTTATGGAAGGGGATGTGGCGTGCATTACTGGAAAATATTCCTGAACATGAATGGGGCATGGGTAAGATTGCTAGCACACTAGTGGGCGATAGACAATACATTGATGATGGAAAGGGTATTTCACTTGAAAGGAACAAGGCAACTCAGGAAGGTGAACAAGAAGGTGCTAAGCTGCTCAAACCTCTTAGAGTGCAAGTCCTAAAAGCAAATGGAGTAGGTGAAGTACTCTTTGCACAGTTGATTAGAGAAGGACAAGTTGGTGTTTGTATTATTGTTGACAGTTACACCAATCCTTTTGGAGCCGGAAGCATTATCAAAGGTATCCAACTAAATTCCGTAAAGGCATTTGAGTATTATTACATGGTGGAAATTGAGTCTGGTCTTGGGCTGAGGAAGAAAAACTTTATAGCATTTTCACTTCTGGTGGGAAATAGCCACAACTTGACTGGTGTGGTATTTGAGATAAAATGGCTTTACTCTATTATGACCAACCACAACAAAATATCAGAGAAGGCTGGTATGGTTTTTTGTTCAATGTCCAAGGCAATATTGGAGTTTGAGGAGTACCAGAATGATACTCTACCTATTAAATTTGTACCTCGCGTTGTAGGTGAGGGTGAATATTCATTACTGTTGGTTGAGTTGAAAGAGTTTTATAAACTTCAATTATCAAGGCAATTTTTTATTGGAAGATATGGCAAAGATACAGTGCTATGTGCAATTTATATTCATGAGAATGAGTCCATCGTACCTCAATGGAATTATGAGGTATTACTTTTCAAGAAAGCAATTGAAGACATGTTCCGTGTGGCCCTTAAGTCAACTATTCTTAGCGATGGATCAATTGTGTATATGTGGAGTACCAAATGTCCAATGCATTTCTCTACCCCTTTTAGAGTAAATGCCATAGAACCCGGTCCGTTGGACAGGACTTTGATAATTGCACTTGGAAAAAGCTTAGTGAAATATAGAGAAGAATATACCATACCTCCAGATGATAATCAGTTGCATGCTACCATGGGGGTATTGCTTTTCCATAAAGGTGTAGATATTAAATATTACAATGTGCAGAATAGCCATGCTGGAGGAGGTGAGGAAGCTATAAATCTTAATCATGTGACCAAGATGAATATAGATTATTGGCAATTGATGATGAATCAATCTACATGGAATGCATTGGAGGATGATGGGGTAACACTGTATGACCAGATGAAGTATTTTGTTATTAATGTTTCTTCCTATTTCAACATATGGGCTTGGGAAAGTGTGGTCACTGATGGTGAGAATGTTGAGATACATATTCAAGCTCCTAAGGACATGAGTGACACTATTAGAGCAGTAAGGCATATGAAGATTGATCAAAAAGGGATTCTTGACCAAACAGTTCGTGTATATGCATCGACTGGTTCTGTAAAGGCAAGAGCTCTCCTTGAGCATGACCTTGTTGTTGTTGGATTGCAAGTAGCAGGAGCTGGCAGGAAATGGGAGGTATATTTGGGACTAAAACAAGCTATTCATGACACTTTTGAAACTAGTTCTAAATCAAGAGGAATAAACGACCATAAAGCTAAGGATTTTTTCAGGAAACAGTTGTTGGTCCTACTCAATTACAAAGATAAGATCGTTGGATGTCTCCTAAGCCACAGAAGAAAAAGATTAAACCGACTGATTTCATGGGTTCAAGAGTACATAATGCTTGCATGAGGCTGGCACTCATTGATCTGGGTAGATATGAATGCTTTGAGAATATATTTTTCCATCTCTTCTTCCTTAAGGACAAGGAAGTTCTTAACGGGGGAGAACTGATACGATTTAAAATGGGAAAGGTTGGAGCGAGCTTGTACAATGGGCTTGTTGGGTTGTACGGTGAAATTAGAGAGAGGGGTCTGCTGATCAGTTAACAACTTTTGCTTTTAGTATTTAAGTCCACTTTAACTAGTTTACCTTATTATTTAATTACCATTATAAGTTTTCTTTATTATAGTTTAGTCCATAGCTCCTAATTCACTATATGTATTGAGTTTTGCCCTTTCGAATGAAAAACCCTTTTATATTATTTGTATTATTTTCTTCTCTTTTTAGCTTAGATTTTCTTCCTCTCTGAAATTCAATATTCCTAACAGAAAATAGTGATATCTTTTGGGGCATTTCCCCGAATTCCGAAATAAGTACAATTTGGAGAATAGAGAGGAAATGAGATGATCAAATACAAACCCAGCAAGAAAGGACTCAGAAGAACGGAGAAGGCAAATTGAAAAATTAACACTTCATCAAATACTTCAAAAGGAAGAACAGATAAATACTCACTATAACCCAAAAATAAAACCAAGGCGAAGGATTAATTGAAATCCAAATAGAGAAATTTTGTTGGAAAAAAAGCACCCCGAAAATGCACAGAGGAGATCTAGAGCAAGAGAGACGTGAGTCCAGAGAAGAAAATGAAGCGAAAAAAAAAAAAAAATATGCACAAATACAACTATTGTATGTGTTGGCAGCAAGAAAAATGCCACGTATGATAGTGATCTCATCAATTTATAGAAAAGTAATTTAAGAAAATCAAACTATTAGAGCAAAATATATAAATTTTATCCTTTATTTAATGTACAACTAGTTCATCCTTGCACCTTTTCTTCACTTTTTGTGAAAAAAATATATTCAAAAATATTTTGTTGTACAGTTGTAGTGCGTAAAGGAAAAGAACAAAACAAAAGGGGAAAAAGATAAAACGCTACCGATTCTCTCAGAACAACCCAAAGCAGTTCCTCCCAAATTTCAAATATTAGTACTAGAACAAAACAGAAAAAAAAAAAAAAAAAAAAAAAGTGTGCAGTAATGGGTCAAATATTTATCCGGGTCGGGTAACCTTTCCTATCCAAAACAACCAGCTATTTTGACAAACCGAATTTCACACTCTCCCTTCTTCCTTCACCAGAGCATCAATGGCAGCCACTCTTCCGACCAGTTCTTCCTCGTATCTAAACTCGAGAACTAGACTCCCTCAGCCTTCTTTAAGGTAACCTTTTCCCCTTTTTTCAATTCAATTCCGTTTTCTTATTTTCCACTATGTAAATATCAACAAAGTTAACATTTTTTTCTTCTTCTTACGTTGTTTTCAGCTGTGCCAGCAAAGTTTTTGTCGGATTAAGAGTCCAATCTCCAAGTATGTTTTATTACATCATGATTTATTTAGGATTTTGTTTTTTTTCTTGTTTTAATTGGATAACTGTTTGTTTCTTGGCTTTTTTTAGCAGATTCTTTTGGTACTACAACGCCTAATGTTAATGTTGAATTTCACAATAGAGTTTACAGAAGTATTGAGTCCGGGTAATCTTGACCTTCTTATTTACTGGGTGACTTTCACCCAAAAAGTTCTTGTCTTGAATAATATTGTGTTGCTTTTATATATAACCTAGGATATATAAAGTATATGCACGGAAGAGCTAGCTTCAAGGAAAGGGGGTTAAATTGAATCTCCTTTGTTGAAAAATTACTGCGCAAATAGGCAAAAACTAGTTTTTCTGTTTATATATAAGCTGTTGAATCTCCTTAATATAACAGAAAGTTCTAAAAAAGTGGCATAGGGGGTTAAAAAATTGTTTTAGGTCATAGGTTCCAATCCCAGGTAATACATTTTTGAATCACCTTGTGTAAATTTGTGGATCTGCCACTGGATATATGCCGAATTTCACAATACAGCTTACAGAAGTATTGAATCCAGGTAATCTTGTTCTTCTAGTAAGTAATAACTGGGTGACTTTTGCACCCAAAAAGTTATTATCTTGAATAATGCTGTTTTGCTCTTATATGTAACCTAGTTTATATAGATTATATGGTCCATAAGGGTGGTTGAGGACTGGGGCAGAGCTACAGTGGTGCCTGCGGGTTCGGTAGAGCCCAGTAGCTTCAGCCCAGACCATGTATTTGTATTAAAAAATCTACTTAAAATCTGCAAATAATTTATCTAGAACTCAATAAACTGCCTTTTCTAGAATAAAAAATCCAATCAATCCATAAATTCAAAATCCTAGATCTTCCTCTAAAGAGGACTTAGACTGGTGGGTTGATTCTCTTAACAAATACCAATGCTAATGGATTTTTCGACATGAGCATATAAAGTTGGAGCCAAAGGCAGTGGATTCGGACGAACCTAATGCTTATATACCGGGCCTACAGTTTTAGCATGTCGTGAGAATTGTAGAGGATGTTGAATGTTGTGATGAATGGCCATCTTAGTTCTGATAATTTAAGTTAATATATTGGCTTGGAACTGTATATGTTGGTTCTGTATAGAAAATCTATTTTAGAAAATAGCATATCCTTTTTTCTTTCTTCCTTCTGCCCACGCCCATGCATATATTTTCTTTTAGTTTCTCGCCATCGCATAGCATATTTTCTGTGGGAAAGGAGGATTGTGCTGGCTAATCTAATGGGTTTGAAGAGGGAAAAAGGCTAATTTTCTGTTGTAAAGTATGAGCATTTTGTTTTGTTCATGTTCATCTTGGACCCCAGCTACTAACAAAAAATGCCTTACAGACAAGTTGCAATGGCCTAGTGCCCAGAAAACAAGGAACTGGGACGACCTATATGATTTGACGATTAATGAAATTCCCTAATAACAACCTAGTGTGTGGAATTTGACTCAAACTTGTGCTGAGCTATTCTTCCCTTTGCCGAGCTTTGTTTAATCTCTGCACATTTCTTGCTGCTGTCTTGTTAATCTCACACTCAAGCCTTCACATTTCTCAGCCTTGTTTTTTCTTTCAAGTTTATGAGTTTATGCTTACATTGCCTCCATCTTTAAATTATGTCTATCAGGAACTAATATCTAGTACTAAGTCAGTATATTTTATGTAGTATCAAATATCAAATCTTTCTATAGTTTAAATCAGAACATTTAAACTACTTTGTCCAAACACACACACACACACACAAAAAAAAAAAAAAAAAGATGTCAGCAAATCTCAATGAGGTGTAGCACTTACCTCATTTTGATAGTCACTAACGAGCCTGTGCCTTGAATGTTCTCATATTCTTAATTATACTGTTATTTATCTTTTATTTCTGAGTATATCCCATCTTTTATTGATTAAAATCTCCATTTTCCTTTGGATAGAATTTTTGTATATTTTTTCTCGAGTTTCATTTGGCTGCTGGTTGTTTTTGTAATCTAACCTAGAGTTCATACTTCCAGAACTAGAAACAGTAAACCAACACGTGCACGAGTTTCCATGATGCCCATTGGGACACCAAGGGTACCCTACAGAAATCCAACCGAGGGAACGTGGCAGTGGGTTGATTTGTGGAATGCTCTTGTAAGTAACATGATTTCAGTTTCGAAGTACCTTTGTTTCTCCTTTGGCTAATTGGATTAATAATCAATACTTCTGATCTGGGAATATATCACTGAATTCTTTGATGCAGTACCGTGAACGTGTTATTTTCATCGGACAACACATAGATGAAGAATTTAGCAACCAGATATTGGCAACAATGCTGTACCTTGACAGTATTGATGATTCGAAGAAGCTCTACCTGTATATCAATGGCCCTGGCGGTGATGTGAGTTATTTACTAATTTTACTTTGTAGTCAAAGTTTCCTCTTTTATTAGAAACACCTCTTTTTTCTTCTTAATTTTGTGCTCAGACTGCTTTCTTTCTTCTTGTTATTTGCTTAATGTTACTTCTATTTGCAGCTAACTCCGAGCATGGCCATCTACGACACAATGCAAAGTCTGAAAAGTGCTGTTGGCACCCACTGTGTGGGCTATGCCTACAATCTTGCCGGTTTTCTTCTTGCTGCTGGAGAAAAGGTATCGTAGTTCTCTCCTAGTGATAAAATGTGGAAAAGAAAACTTGTGCTTATCGACAATGTCTTGCTTAGACTAGCTTTCGGAGTTGTTGCGCCTGATTATTTTATGCAAAGATGGGATTGAGTTGTCTGGATATATTGGCGAGTTCCGTATTTTGTTATTTCTTTCTGCAGCATTTGGCATGAAAAGAAATTTGCCAAGTATCAGCCACTTGTGATGGCATCCCAAAGAACTGTATTTTATAAGAGTTCATTTTATCTTATTTTAACCTAGAGATTTATTTGCCTGATTATGAGTTGGGCTTGTCTCTCTCCAAAGGCCTCCATCTAGAGTTGTGATCCTATATTATAATGTGCAGTCAAACCTCGGAATTATTGGGGTTGGGGTTGAACCGAAATTTGAGGGTCAAGTTATGGAACCTGTCGTACATCCTTGTTCAGTGTTATGCTTCTCTACTGAGGCTGTACCACCTGGTTATCTATTGGAGCATCACAAATCGGTGTACCGAACAAGGAACTGCTGATAGTTTTTCCTGCGGGGCTAGCCAAGATCCATGTCCAAAGTTAGCCGATAGTTTTTCCTGTGGGGCTAGCCAAGATCCATGTCCAAAGTTAGCCTAACAGTCACTTCCCATTGGGACTATAATCACTTCGGTGTCAGTTCGACAACCTTCCACACTTGACAGTGGGAATTTATCCCATTTGGTTGCACCCTTTTGTGATGAAAACTATTAATGCAAAGACCACAAACAATGAGATATAGATAAACATGTGTTAATTATCTCTTCTTATTTTAGAAGATGATATAATAGTGGCAAACACTCTTGGGAAAAAGAGAATTCTTTGTTTTGGCCAGTTTCTTTTGTTAGTGATTTGATTGTGCCTCCTCTTGTAAAAGATAAGACCTTATTTAACTGTGGAAAGGCAACTAAAGCTCAATGTTAATTTGACAAATTTCCATTGTGAAGGGCAATCGATTTGCAATGCCTCTTTCAAGGATTGCACTACAATCTCCTGCTGGAGCTGCACGCGGACAGGTTTGTCTCCTCGACATTTTGGAAGGAAATGCTTATTTTTATGATTTTTCCGAGACTACATACTTATACATTTTCGTATTTGGCAGGCTGATGATATCCGTAATGAAGCAGATGAACTTCTCAGAATTAGAGATTACCTTTTCAAGGAGTTGGCTGAGAAGACAGGCCAGCCTGTTGAAAAGGTATATATTGCTTTCATCTCGATTTCGATATTTTGATTTAAGTTGCTATAAATTATACGTTTTCAAACTATGGTTCGGGATAAGTTTCTACCTAAAAGTATTAGGTGCAATAACTAACCACCTTGCCTTATTGCCTTTGAATGGACTCACATTTTGGGCAAGGTGTGATGAGTAAATTTGATCTCTGCATATCAAAAGTATTGATCATTGTAGCTTCATCTATTGGAAATATGCAGGTTCACAAGGATTTAAGTCGGATGAAGCGATTCAATGCTCAAGAAGCTCTTGAATATGGTCTTATAGACCGTATAGTTAGGCCTCCCCGTATTAAGGCGGATGCTCCACGAAAGGATACCACTGCAGGTCTTGGTTAGTTCATATGCCTTGTAAACGGAATGGCTGATAGTGGTTGTAAAACTTGCAGTCTTATTTTGCGATTTTTTAGTTCAATCTACATATGTACTCTTTTGATTTACTTATTTAGAAGAAAAAAAATTCTACATGGAAATTGACAAGACTAGTTCCCTTGTTTAATATTATGAATACAAGAAATCCATTTTTAGAAGCTATCAGTTTTGTGAAACTATCCATTTTTAGACTCCGAATATACTTATCTGAAAAGCTATCAGTTTTTAGAAGCTGAAAGAAACAGGCTCATGAATGCTTTTTCCATTGCACCGTGTTAATGAGAGCCAGAGAGCTTTTGCGAGTAACTTTAGTCGATGACTTTTTTGATAGCAGGGGCGGATCCAAGATTTAATTTTAATGAGTTTAACTTTCAAGATTTTCAGCATGAAACTCATTGTACTGTTAAAATTATGGATTCAGTTATAAGATTTGTTGAGAATATTGTGTGACAAAAGTATGGATTCACATGAACCCGTAGCCAGTAGGTTACATCCTCCCCGGCTTGATAGAGTGTATCATTGTAAGCAGCTGCAATATAAAGAGAAACAGCTATTTGACTATTTACACTAGGAGTGGCAAACGGGCGGGTCAAGTCGGATATGGTTCGGGTCGAAAACGGGAAATGAAAAAACGGATAAATTATTCGACCCGACCCATGTTTAATACGGATAAAAGCGGGTTAACCGGGATAATATGGGTAATCACATTATTCATGACTTCTTGAATATGAAATCCCCAAAATTTGGGAAACCCCCAATTTGAGGATTTACAAGTGTAAAAGTTAAACTCATTGGTTATCCATTGGTTACTCATTAGTTATCCATTTTTTAAATGGTTATATAATACGGTTCTTATTCATATTCGATCCATTTTTAAAAAGTGCATGTGGATAATATGTGTGGTTCTTTTAACCATTTTGTCACCACTAATTGACGCCATTATACGTCTTTTCCAACTACTTTTTTTTAAGTATAAAATCTGAGATGTATATACAATTAGGGGTGTCAATGGTTCGGTTCGGCCGGTTATTTTGTAAATTTTGTACCATATCAATTTTTCGGTTATTCTATTATGTATAGCCAAAATTAGATTTTTCGAAACCGTCCCAATTATATCGGTTTCTCTTCGGTATCGGTACGGTTCGGTTAATTTTCGGTATTTTTTTAATATCATATAAAAGTCACTAGTAGAAGTAGAATGCAATAACATAATACTTTTATAGGACTTAGCAAAACTCTCTAGATATTTTTACATTTTAAAGGGTGATGAATTAAGAAAATATAAAAGATGGCTAGAGTATAGATCCATCAATTACTCTACAACAGCGTAAATGAAACTAAACAAATTGATATAAAGAAAATATAAATCACACGAGTGGAAAGATATTAACCATGATGGAACCGGGACTCGAGAATAAAGTCTATAGAAGATTAAATATTCAAAAAGATAAATCTAAATCGTACGAAAGGAAACATAATCAATATTGTAGTTTGCTACTCATAACCGCTAAAATACCTTGTGTCTTGCTAGTGAATATGCTGGAAATAATTTAGTTTCAATGGGAGTAGCATAATAGGTTTGGGAATTATGTTTTGCGATTATTACTTGTTGGCTTGTAATTGTTTTCATAATTCCAAGACCCAAGAAGAATTTAATGTTTTATTATTTTTGAACTTAATATATAAATATATTTTTCGCATGTAAATTTATTCGGTACGGTTCGGTATTTTTTCGGTTTATTTTCATAAAATAAAAAACCTACCCTATTTATCGGTACGGTTATAGATTTATATAAAAACCTACGGTTTTATTAAAAGAAACCTAAAAATCGGTTCGGTACGGTACGGTTTGGTTGGTTTAGTCTGTTTTTAAATATCCATTAACACACCTATATACAATTATAGACACCAAAACATGTTTTAACTTTATCTACATTAACCTCTAAGAGCCTTTCCTGTCAGCTGCTTTCTTAAGGACATTGTTAGTATATGGAGCATATGTGGATGGATTGGGGATTTGGATTGATCTAAAAATCGAATAACAAAAAAAATGGTCCAAAGTACAAAATATGCCACGAAATGAGTAGAAATGGCATGGGGTAGCCACTATTAGTCTATTAAAATTAATATGAGAAGACAAAGTTACCCTTTTTTCCTTCTCTCTCGCGCTGTCTCTGCCACACACCCTACCAAAAATCCGGCTACTTGTAGGAGATCATAGACATAAAACACAGTCAAGGGATGAAGAGAAGAAGCAAAGAGAATTACGTGATAACCAGGATGAGGAAAACTTCAGGCAAATTGAATCCCAGTCCTCTGAATTACCAACGCGTTGACCCAAAGGCTTAGCTAATAATCTTAAAGGAAGCAAACAGATGAAGCAGATATCACCAAATATAACGAAAAGAAAAGATAATCAAATGCAATTTGTACTTTTACCCACATCATCAACCTCTGATTCAACTACTAAGCATATAAACCAAAAAAATGTAGTCTTGAAGTCCTAAAGTTAAGTTCAATAGTTAAGGACACAAGTTCAAAAGTTAAGGACAGGTAGTCATTAACTTACAGTTACAAGTTCAAAAGTTAAGGACAAGCAATCCTTAACTTATAGTTACAAGTTCAAAAGTTAAGGACAGGCAGTCCTTAACTTACAGTTACACATATAGTCCTTAACTTTGACTTACAAGTTCAAAAGTTAAGGACAGACAGTCCTTAACTTCCAGTTGCACGTTCAAAAGTTAAGGACAAGAAGTACTTAACTTACAGTTACAAGTTCAAAAGTTAAGGACAATAGGTCCTTAACTTTGACTTACAAGTTCAAATGTTAAGAACGCTTGGTCTTGAAGTTTGAGTTCCAAGTTCAAAAGTTAAGGACATGTAACCTTGAAGTCCTGAACTTAGAGTTCCAAGTTCAAAAGTTAAGGACATGTAGTCCTGAAGTCCTGAACTTAGAGTTACAGGTTAAAAAGTTAAGGACATGTAGTCTTGAAGTCCTGAATTTAGAGTTTCAAGTTCAAAAGTTAAGGACATGTGGTCCTGAAGTCCTGAAGTTAAGGACATGAGTAGAAGGGTATTTTCGTCCGGGCAGTTAAAGTTTATTAAACCAGTGGCTAAAGACTAAAGACATTTAAAACACTGGCTTTAAAATAAAGACATGAGTTGTTAGTGGCTATTTGTGCACATCGCCCGCTAGCCCAAGTTTACACACAAACAGCAAATAGACGTGAGAAAGATCAATTGGAACTTTGTAAATGGCATGCAGTCCTTGTGGTTTACACAATCTGGTAAAATCCATTCAAATTTCACCTTATGCAAGTTGAGTAGTTACATTTATTTCAGCTGGCTCATTCCTCGAATCAGGGGCCAAAGCTGACCAATTATCTGCACGGAACGAAGAGGAAGTTGGCACAGCTTTTTTTACTGAAGAGTGATAAGGATGGTCTTCCATCTCTGTGGTAGGTAAAGGAACAGCAGCGACAATGGAGTCCGATTTGTTTTTCTTGGTCCTCTGCTCATGCTGGTCTCCAGCAAGAAAGCTGCCTACAACAATCTGTTTAACAGCAACAAAGATAGAAGGCGAAATGTCATCATTCAAACGACTAACTATTGTATAATAGGTACTTTGCTAAAGTTGGTGGAATATCCAAGACACTGCTTTTGTTTGTCAAACAAGCATAAATTCACTCGTGTAAACAATACAACTAAGTTTAGGCAGATCACTACCTGCACAGGACTGGCAGCTACTAACAGACCGGCAACTCCACCCCCAACAACACGTCCGTCAGGGCTTGCTAGAGAAACACTCATTCCACCAGATCTGTTTCTCATTCCTCCGGTCTCTGATGGCATAAATGATCCAGTCAAAGACAGTATCTCAAACCGGCCCTAAAGGAACAACGAAAGGGGAAGGTTATACACAACTGCCTACCATTAACAACATATATGTACAGAGAATGCCTAGCATCAATTTCCATACAACGAAGGCTTTAGCTTCAGATGTCAAAATATGAGTCTGTTTCATTGAGAATTCATGTGTCATCTATACTCCTAAGCACTAACACAAGGGTTTTAAGAAGTTCAGATGACACAGATATACATGAATCGTACAAGACATATGCTCCAATACTATAGTGCCGGAGAGCAGTTAAGAAGAGTGATGGATGGTGTACTCGTTAAGATTTCAAAAGAATCAGCAATACAACTGCTAGTTTGTGTACTCGTTAAGATTTACATCTTATTCTACCAGATGAGAAATCAGTTCTGAGCAGTGTACTCATTAAGGTTTGAGTTCTTCCATGACACTACTTAGAGTGAAACACTAGTAGCCTCAATGTATCTCTGTCACTTGAACTAGTGCGAATTAAGATCAGCAATTCTGGACTAAGATCTTGTTTATTTCAATAACGAAGAGAACTAAGCTCTTCACAAGTAACTAACCAGTAACCAGAAGAGACATGCCACATATAAGGGAATATTGACACTCCTAAAGTTGGCAGGACGCAAAAGTGTAGAGTCCGAAATCTATTTGATTACAGAAATAGGTACCAGAAGAAGATAATAATTTCACATGTAGAAGCAATGATTAGAAGCTTATAGCACATCAAATATGACATCAATAAACATGAATAAGAAGATTAGCCATAGCAAGAGAGAAAACTAGTTGCAGCACCTCATACGTCAATGTGCCACCAGAGGAATCTGGCTGACGAAGTGTAACGCTTGAAATTACACCATTTGCTGAAAGAATGCATATTGCTCTAGGCCCTTGTTGAGAGAATGATATAACCTTCATGGTGACATCCTAAAGGAAATCGAAAGCACAATTAGCAATGCACGTTCAGTTCAATATATATAATGGTCATTTACACATGCTTATGTCTATGTTTACGATGAGAAAATCCTGCTAACTTATGGAATTTACCAAACAAAGAATATTTTCTTCAAATATGTACTAAATACAGCAAACATCCCCCTCTTTTCTTGGTTTTTTTTTGGGAGGGGGGGAGGGGGATTAAGTTATGGTCTCCATCTGCTTATACAAAACATTGCATGCACCATGTATAGTTCCAAATTTAGAAATTTCTGATTTAGCATGTGTCATCAAGTTTTCAGAGGATGAGGTACAAAGGATTACCAAGATAATAGGCTGTACCAGTAATATAAACTGGTAAAAACTGCAAGACGCACAAACAGAAAGAAAATTGCCTGTGATCACATATGTTATGCGAGCAACATACCACCTTATATATGCAGATTTAACATTTAAGTCATTGCAAAGAACAGGCGTAATGGCTTCCTGGCCACTTAAACTTGTAGGGCTTTTGAAAGCCGATACACAAACTTTCGACTTTCTCATTTGAACACTCGAACTTGTATATTTGATAATTAATAAACATATTTGACCGTTGACCATGCACATGTGGCAGTGACAGAGGTGATACGGACAAAGTATGTACAAATCACCTAAACTAAGCGCGTCACTACAATAATTTTGGTTAAAAAAATCTGAAATAAAAAAAATACAAAGAAAAAGAAAGAAAATAAGCCCCTGCTCCAAAATCATTAAACCCCTATCCCCCTCGCCACATCCTCTTCTCTGAACAAAATCACCGGTTGTTTCAGAAACCTAAGGAGGGGAATCACCTCCTGTCGCGGAAGGTTTAAATCATCGATTTATCGATTTTTTGCTCGTCGGTTAGTGCTTTGGAAACCAAAGAAGATGATGAATCCTGCTTGAGGGATTGGATGTCGGTTTTGGAGTTTTGACAAAATGGTTGCAATAGTCAAGCATCGGCGAAACCAACAATGACTGAAAAATCCACAAATCGCCGAAAATACCAGTTAAAGCACGAACTCAATTGCAAGGAAACTACAATAAACAGTCCAATCCCTCAAACGAAAAAACAGCAATAACGAATAGCAAAGGTGTCAGCGGCGAGTGACATAGCCCGGCCTATGAACAACGACAGTGTATGGTCGCCGAAAAGTTTGTAAAATCGGACAGGTTATCAGATTTTCAGTGAGCAGCAAAAAAACCAATTTTGTTAGAAGTGGAAAATGGTGGATTTTATGGAAGTTCATGGCTGATTTTGGTCGCTCTATTGATTAAAATAAGTGAACCCCAATCAGTTGGGGTTTGTTTTCGCACCCTTGACGTGTAACAATCCCATTGGTCATTTGCTGACTGGATGGACACATCTGTGTATGTGTAATACACGCGCATAGGCTCAAGGGTCAGGAGTGTTTATTAGTTAAGGGAATTATGAGTTCGAGTATTCAAATAGGAAAGTCCAAAGTTTGTGTATCGGCTTTCAAATGCCCTACAAGTTTATGAACCCATTACGCCTAAAGAAAATACTTCCATATGTACCAGCTTCAGCTAAGATTTACCTCTCCAGTATTTACAGTACTAATATGAGGTGTAAAATTGGCACCAACAGAGCACGAAACCCATTCACCTACAGAAAGTAATTAATTATCAGTAATTTGAAATAAACCTTTAGCATAAACCATTAAACTACAAAAGCATATTTCATGTTCAGTGTGTAAACAAAACTGAGTTGGGATCGTTTTTTGTTCTTCTTCCGAATACGAAATTCTGGTATATGGCCTGAAACTTCATCACACAAAAAATCACGAATCATGTGTTTTAAAGTGACTCCAACTATATCCATATAAATAACTAAAGACTTATTTTCTGACAAGTCACAAATAACAAATGATTATTACAGAAGTCTAGAATAGTGCCTCCACCCTCCTCCAAAAGGAAAAGGAAAACATAAAGTAGACAATCCTCATTTAATTGTGTCGTGAAGTTCACAAGGGTCTCATAAAAACATCAGGGATGATCACCTGTCAAGAGAAAATTACATACATAATACAGTGTTTCCCCCTCCCAATCCCAACTACCAATAAATGAGGGACAAGGAAAGAGGAAAAAACACTTCAGTGCACATATACAACCAGACTCAAAGAAGAAAAAAGAACAAATTAAAACAGGATAAAAGGGCTGGGGCTCAAAGTAATAATGGCACTTACTATGAAAAGTAACACGGAAAGCCGCATAGAAACACGGGAGAACAATTAGAGTTAAATTCCAGGTGCATACACATGCATGTTTAGTACGACGATCCGTTCATTTGGAAGGCTAAAGAAAGCGCAAATATGACAGGAAGCCTCAGCTTAAGGAACTCGTAAAATTTTAGGGAATTATATTCAAATTGGGAAGTAAAAGTAGCTAAACAATTAGGTGATATCATAGATGTTGTTAATTCCCTTCCTATAGAAGCAGCAGATCGTAGAGTTCAGATTCACATTACTTGTTATTTTATTACTCCTTAGGAGACTATACCAGGAAATTCCAAAAAACCAATTTGGTAAAACTCACATCAACATCATTTTCCCATCTACACTATTTTCCCATAACTTCACAAAACCCCACACACTTTTCCGGCGCATCTCTATTATTCCACTAAATATTTATTACCTTCCACGATATCCACTGATTTTCATTCTACTTCATTGACCACGAGGTCACATCCTTTCGGTGCAAACCACGACATCAAAAACTAATTAACTCACGTAAGCAAACAGATCTATAGAATAGGACCAATTAATTAATCAACATGCATGTGAAAAAAGATTAGAACAAATAACAGAACAAAGTTGCTATCTTTACCTGGAGTGGCTAAATCAACTTTAGGCTGATGATGATGAGGTTTAATAGCACTAACTAACCCAACAGGCCGGACTTTCCCCCGTTTCTCCGACGAAAAATCAATCACCGGCGACGGCGCAGATGATGAAATTGGCTTTGGAGATAAAACATTATTACTATTAGTTACATTTACAGACCCATCAGGTGCATATTTTCTTGGTCTACCTCTCTTCTTCTTCACATTAACATTCTGTTGTTGTTGTAACTGCTGCTTGTGTTGTTGTACTAATAATCTGCTGCTGCAGAGGATTAGGATTATTATCAGTGGTCCTTGCTGCCACATGGTAATCTGATGGTGCATCTGATCCCAGTACTGTAACTCCCTCCATATCCCCCAAAAAAAATTTACCAAGAAAATATTACACAATATTTTTCCTTTCTTCAAAAAAAACCAAAAGACAGAAATTTTGAGGTGTAAAAGCTCAAAAATAGAGAAAAAAAATGAAGCTTAACTGCTAATTTTGAAGTATTACCAGAGTTTAGCAAGAAAACAGAGTAAGATTAAACTGGCAAAATAGCTCACAGTACTGTTGATTCTTCTTTTGTTTTCCTTGGAAATTTTAAGGAGAGAACATAGCAGGATTTTTTTTCTTGAAAATTTTAAGGATTAAAAAATGAAAATGTGGAAAAGACTGAATTTTTTGGCTTGGGAAGTGTTGAAATTCTTGAGAAAATATGAAAAATGGAGTTTTTGAGAAGTTAAAAAAAAAAGTAAATTGGATTCGTGACTTTCATAATCAACTCATCTTGTTGCAGGCGTGCAATCCGGTCCCATTTCTCAATGTCTCGTGGTAGGCGTGCAACCCGGTCCCATTTCTCAATGTCTCGTGGTAGGCGTACCACCCGCTCCCATTTCATCATACTTGTGGTACTTGTGGTAGGCGTACCACCCGCTTCCTTTTCATTATCAATTGTGGTAGGCGTACCACCCGCTCCCATTTCAATATCACTTGTGGTAGGCGTACCACCAGCTCCCATTTCCATATCACTTGTGGTAGGCGTACCACCCGCTCCATTACTTTCCAACATAATACACAATACATTCCCGGCAAGGGAGAATACACAAATAATGACTTCCCGGCAAGGGAAAAACAATAACGACGAGTCAAACATCCCGGCAAGGGAGAATCAGCTATAACCAATCTTATTTAGCTTCTACTTGGCACCACTAATACCAATATTCAATCACAACTTCCATAGGATCAATGGATACACGATTATCAATTTAAGACTCACGGTCATGCTAGACACCAATGTATAGATACTCGTCACCATGCCTATACATCGTACTTGATCAATTAGCAAGTAGCAAACAAGACTCAACTCCTAATCCCTCAAGCTAGGGTTAAACCGAACACTTACCTCAAACTTCCACGGCCAATTCAATCCTCAACAACCGCTTTCCCTCTCGAATTCGGCTCCAACTCAACCAAATCTATGTAATAATAACTTCATGTTATCAATATGTGCTAAACAAATCAAACCCAATGCCTAATTATAGCTTTTTTATCATTTTTCCCCAAAAGGTCAAAAATGCCCTCGGGCCCGCATGATCAAAACCCGAGGTTCGAACCAAAACCCGATTACCCATTCCCCCATGAACTCAAATGTATAATTTATTTTGGATCGGACCTCGAATTGATGTCCAAAACCCCTAATTTTAGAAAACCTAGGTTCTACCCAAATTTTCCAAATTTCCCCATTAAAATCTTTGTTTTGAAGTTGAAATTAAGTTAAAAGATGTTAAGGAGTGAAGAAAATGAGTTAGAAATCACTTACTAATCGTTTTGAAGAAGAAGAATTGTTTGGAAAATCGCCTCTTATGTTTTGGGTTTTTGAAAAAAGTGAAAAATATCTGAAATTCCCGTCTTTATATACCCTCCCTGAAGACCCAGCGCGGACCGCGCAAAAGTGCACCGCGGCTGCGCTGAAGAACTTAGCAATTACCACTCTCTGAACTTTCCAGCGCGGGCCGCACTAAAATGGAACGCGGTCGCGCTGGAGAACTGGACAAAATTCCACCCTCTGAATCTTCCAGCGCGGACCGCGCAAAAAGGGGACGCGGCCGCGCTTGTTAACCTGGAAAATGCTGGCTCTCTGAAGTCAACTACGCGGACTGCGCATGGACGACCACGGCCGCGCAGCTTCCATCGCGGACCGCGCTAAGGCGACTGCGGCCGCGCAGCACGCACGCGGACCGCGCTAAGGCGACCGCGGGCGCGCTGGAGCCTGCAACTCCTCTGAACCTGCAACATCTGTTATTTCTAAGTCTAAGACCTCCGGGGGCCCACTCAAAACTCACCCGAGCCCTTGGGGCTCCAAACCGAACATACATATAACCCCAAAAACATCCTACGGACTCATCCGTGCGATCAAATCGCCAAAACAACATCATAAGTATCAAATTAGGCATCAAGACCCATGATTTCCTTCCAATTTTCATAAAACATCAAGTTTAGAGTTTTGAGTCCAAAACGCGTCAAACGACGTCCGAATTCAACCAAACTTTACAGGAAGCGCTTAAACCATATATAAGACTTGTACCGGGCATCGAAACCAAAATACGAGCCCGATACCACAGTCTTTTAATCAAATTTCATTTTTCAATTTCTTTAGTTATTTTCAAGAAATAATATCACATAAAAATTCATTTCTCGGACTTGGGACCTCGGAATTCTATTCCGGGAGTACACCCAAGTCCCATATATTCCTACGGACCCTCCGGGACCGCCAGATCACGAGTCCGGGTCCGTTTGCCCAAAATATTGACCGAGGTCAAACTTAATCAATTTTTAATATCAAGATTTAATATTTTTCTCACAGAATTCACATTTAAGCTTTCCGGCTACGCGCCCGGACTGCGTACGCAAATCGAGGCAACCCCAAATAAGGTTTCAGGGCCTCAGAAGTACAGAGCGAGTAGGAATAAGGGTGATGACCCTTTGGGTCGTCACATTCTCCACCTCTAAAACAACTGTTCATCCTCGAACGGACAAAAGAAATAAGTACCTGACTCGGGGAAGAGATGGGGATAACGGCTCCGCATATCAGACTTGGACTCCCAGGTCGATGCCTTAGGAGGCTGACCTCTCCACTGAACACGAACAGAAGGAAAACTCTTGGATCTCAACTGACGAACCTGCCGATCTAGAATAGCTACCGGCTCCTCCTCATAGGATAAGTCCTTATCCAACTGGACAGTGCTGAAATCTAACACGTGGGCTGGATCGTCGTGATACCTCCGAAGCATGGCTACATGAAAAACTGGATGCACGGCTGATAAGCTAGGCGGCAATGCAAGTCTATATGCCACCTCCCCCACTCGATCAAGGACCTCAAACGACCCGAACCTAGGGCTAAGCTTGCCCTTCTTCCCAAACCTCATCACGCCCTTCATAGGCGACACTCAGAGCAATACTCGCTCACCAACCATGAAAGCTACATCTCGAACCTTACGATCTGCATAACTCTTTTGCCTGGACTGGGCTGAACGAAGCCTATCCTGAATGATCTTGAACTTGTCCAAGGCCTCCTGAACCAAATCCATACCTATCAACCGAGCCTCTCCTGGCTCAAACCATCCAATCGGAGACCGACATCGCCTACCATATAAAGCCTCATAAGGAGCCATCTGGATGCTCGACTGGTAACTGTTGTTGTAGGCAAACTCCGCCAAAGGTAAGAACTGATCCCACGAACCTCCAAAATCAATAACACAAGACCGAAGCATATCCTCCAAAATATGAATAGTCCGCTCGGACTGACCGTCCGTCTGAGGATGAAATGCTGTGCTCAACTCAACCCGTGTGCCTAACTCTCGCTACACCGCTCTCCAGAAGCGCGAGGTAAACTGTGTACCCCGATCCTAAATGATAGACACGGGCACACCATGAAGGCGAACAATCTCCCGAATATAAATCTCAGCGAACCTCTCGGAAGAATAGGAGACTGCCACAGGAATAAAATGCGCTGACTTGGTCAGCCTATCAACAATAACACATATTGCATCAAACTTCTTCCGAGTCAACGGAAGTCTAGTAACAAAATCCATAGTAATTCTCTCCCACTTCCACTCGGGAAGCTCAATCCTCTGAAATAGACCACCAGGCCTCTGATGTTCATACTTGACCTGCTGATAATTCAAACACCGAGCCACATATGCTACAACATCCTTCTTCATCCTACGCCACCAATAATGCTACCGCAAATCCTGATACATCTTCGCGACACCCGGATGAATAGAGTACCGGGAACTGTGAGCCTCCTCTAAAATCGACTCTCGAAGTCCATCCACATTAGGCACACATACTCGGCCCTGCAATCTCAAAACTCCATCATCACCTAAGGTAACATGCCTGGCGCCTCCGCGCTGCACCGTGTCTCTGAGGACACACAAATGGGGATCATCAAACTGCCGATCACGGATACGCTCCAATAATGAAGAACGAGCGACCGTGCAAGCCAACACACGACTGGGCTCAGAAACATCCAATCTCACGAACTGATTGGCTAAGGCCTGAACATCCAAAGCAAGCGGCCTCTGATTGACCGGAATATAAGCAAGACTGCCCATGCTGGCTGACTTTCTACTCAAAGCATCGGCCACCACATTGGCCTTCCCCGGATGATATAAAATGGTGACATCATAATCCTTCAATAACTCCAACCACTTCCTCTGCCTCGAATTCAACTCCTTTTGCTTGAACAAGTACTGAAGACTCTTGTGGTCCGTGAACACCTCACATGCCACACCATACAAATAGTGCCTCCAAATCTTTAAGGCGTGAACAATATCTGCCAACTCTAAATCATTCACTGGATAGTTCTTCTCATGAATCTTCAACTGCCTCGAAGCATAGGCAATAACCTTGCCATCCTGCATCAACACTGCACCAAGCCCAATACGGGAAGCATCACAATAAACTGTATAATGCCCTGATCCTGTTGGCAAAACCAATACTGGTACCGTAGTCAGAGCTGTCTTGAGCTTCTGAAAGCTCGCCTCACACTCGTCCGACCATCTGAACTGGGCACCCTTCTGGGTCAACCTGGTCATCGGGGTTGCAATAGATGAAAACCCTTCCACAAACCGACGGTAGTACCCTGCTAACCCCAAGAAACTTCGAATCTCTGTGGCTGATGCTGGTCTAGGCCAGTTCTTGACTGCCTCAATCTTCTTTGGGTCCACCTGAATACCCTCAGCTGATACAACGTGACCCAGAAATGCAACTGAACTCAGCCAGAACTCACACTTGGAGAACTTGGCATATAACTGACTGTCTCTCAGAGTCTGAAGAACCACTCTAAGGTGCTGCTCGTGCTCCTCCTGGCTGCGGGAGTACACCAAAATATCATCAATAAAGACTATCACGAACATGTCCAAATATGGCCTGAACACTCGGTTCATCAACTTCATGAATGCTGCTGGGGCATTGGTCAACCCAAATGACATGACCAAGAACTCATAATGCCCATACCAAGTACGGAAAGTTGTCTTAGGGACATCGGATGCCCTAATCCTCAACTGATGGTAGCCAGATCTCAAGTCAATCTTGGAGAATACCCTGGCACCCTGAAGCTGGTCGAACAAATCATCA